ATAACATACGGATTAAATGAAATAGAGACCAGCTGACCCCCAAACTCCACTTTTTCCAACACAATACCTATGTTCTAGTAAAAATAACATCTTAATTTTATGATGGTACATGCACACAATTAATACTTAAGAGAAATAGAAAATACAGTCGCTAGTTAATGTCCATTCAAATAATGGACTCAACTCCTCCCCCTCTTCTCACACTACACTCATGGCTCTTCCCTCTCTGAGAAATTTTGGGGAAAAACCAGGAATAGTAATAAATAATACCAAACTAAAGTTAGATAATATAATTGACATTGCTGATTTTGTAAGACCAGGAATATTTTGAATACAAATGTCATATATTTTAATAAAGATTACATATTTACTCAAGAGTAAACATTATATCTAAAGTTTGTATGTCTAATGCAAAATCTATGATGTTTATATTCAAAATGATCATCAAATTGTAAGAATTCCAGCAATGTAAATTATATTCTGGCCGGGTAATTTGTATGAATTTTATGAGCTAAAACAAATATCTTCATTAATTAAAGAAAACTATTCTTCACAACACTATCTGTCAATCAAAGTACCCCACCTTGCCTCCCTCTGCCAATCCAGATGGTCGGGTCCGTCCCCAACCTCCCCCACCCCCACCAATCCTCCCTTCAAGAGAAAGGTTGGGTGAAAAACTAGATTTTAACATTTAGTATTAAATAATACCTCAGATTAAAGTTAGGATAATATAATTGACATTGCTGGATTCCTTGTAAAATAGGAATATTTTGAATATAAATGTCATATATTTTGCACAAAAGATAACATATTTACTCAGAGTAAACATTATATCTAAAATTTGTATGTCTAATGCAAAATCTATGATGTTTATATTCAAAATGATCATCAAATTGTAAGAATTCCAGCAATGTAAATTATATGGGTCGGGTAATTTGTATGAATTTTATGAGCTAAAACAAATATCTTCAGTTAATAAAAATATTCTTCACACCCTGGTGCCAGGTGGTCGGCCGGCCCTCCCTCCCACCCCCCACCAAGCCTCCCTACCAGATGAATGTGTGGGAATGACTGTTTACCTTTTAGTAATAAATAATAAATCAGACTAAAGTTAGGATAATATAATTGACATTGCTGGATTCCTTGTAAGACCAGGAATATTTTGAATAAAATGTCATATATTTTGCACAAAAGATAACATATTTACTCAGAGTAAACATTATATCTAAAATTTAGTAATGCAAAATTATGATGTTTATATTCAAAATGATCATCAATGTTCCAACAATGTAATATATTGGTCGGTAACTTGTATGAATTTTATGAGCTAAATAAAAAAATTATACTTCACCCGTGCAAAGGGGTACACCCACAGCGGAATGTGAGCATCCTGGGTTCTGGCAGGGCACTGTGTAAACGTGGAAACGCGGAATGTGGGACCGCGTAAAGTGAGGGTTGACTGTACAGTATTACCCCGCTTACGGTTTCACTTAACGCGATTTCTCATATACGCGGTGCCTCGCCAGAACCGAACTTTCACTTTACGCGGTTCATCTACTCATATATGCGGTGAAGTATAATATTTTTTTTTTATTTAGCTCATACAATTCATACAAATTACCCGAAGAATAAAATTTACATTGCTGGAATTCTTACAATATGATGATCATTTTGAATATAAACATCATAGATTTTGCATTAGACATAAAATTTTAGATATAATGTTTATTCTGAGTAATATGTTATCTTTTAAAATATATACATTATATTCAAAATATTCCTGGTCTAACAAGGAATCCAGCAATGTCAATTATATTATCCTAACTTTAGTTTGAGGTATTATTTATTAAAATCTAGTGGTTTTCCCCCCAAAATTTCTCAGAGAGGGAAGAGCCAACAGTGTAGTGTGAGAACAGGGGGAGGGAGTTGAGTCCATTATTTGAATGGACATTAACTTGGCGACTGTATTGCTCTTGAGTATTAATTGTGTGCATGTACCATCATAAAATTAAGATGTTATTTTTACGAGAACATAGGTATTGTGTCGGATAAAGTAGAGTTTGGGGGTCAGGCCAGTCTCTATTGGAATTAATCCCTTATGTTCTGTTATTCCATTTACGCGGATTTCACTTAACGCAGTACCCTGTGGGTTCAATTGACCGCGTAAATCCGGGTACTACTGTGCAGTATTTTTTATTGTAACTTATTGATTGGTATTATTTTAAATTATTCCTCCCAGTGTTTTATACAGGTTGACAATCCCTTATTCAAAATCATTGGGGCCAGATGTGTTTCGGATTTCAGAATTTTTTACCGACCCAAATTGAGGCCTGGGGAACGAAAATGTAATAATAATAATAATAATTCATAGGTCTAGGTCATGTTCCTCACTTTGGAATTTTTTTTCATTCTTGTATTTCCTTATTACTGTACAGTAGTACCCCGATTTACGCGGTCAATTGAACCCACAGGGTACCGCGGAAAGTGAAAACCGCGTAAAGTGAACAACAGAACATATGGGATTAATTCCAATAGAGACTATTGTGACACAATGCTATTGTAATTATTTAAGAGAAATACAGTTGCCAGGTTAATGTCCATTCAAATAATGGACTCAAATCACCCTCCCCCCCCACCTCTTTCCAGCTCACTAGCTCCTACCTCTCTGAGAAATGTTGGGTGAAAACACTAGATTTTAATGTTTAGTAATAAATAATACCTCAGACTAAAGATAGGATAATATTATTGACATTTCTGGATTCCTTGCAGGTCAGGGAATATTTTGAATGTAAACTTCATATATTTTGCACAAAAGATAAAATATTTGTTTTGTGTAAACCAAATTTATACATTAGATCTAAAATTTGTATGTCTAATGCAAAATCCATGATGTTTATATTCAAAATGATCATCATATTGTACGAATTCCAGCAATGTAAATTATATTCTGGTCGAGTAATTTGTAAGAATTTTATGAGCTGAAACAAATATCTTCAGTTAATAAAAAAAAAAATATTCTTCACAACACTATCTGTCAATCAAAGTACCCCACCTTGCCTCCCCCCCTCCTCACACTCACGCCAGCTGGGTCGGTCCGTCCCAACCCTCCCTACCAGATTGTAATGGGCCCCTGTCTCATCAACAGAACATATTATATAAATGGGTCAATACATCTGATATTATATTCAGATTCACCACCCTGTATCTTTCCACTGGCTATGAGGTGACATGTTCAATGCACGTGATAAGGTGTGCCCACTGGAAGCTACTTCATACTATGCTGAGTAAAGGCATAATTAGCCGGCTCTGGCCACCTGAAGCGAGCAGTAGTTTGATATCCTTGACTAGAGGAAGACGTTATTTGAGAGCCGCAGTGGATGGCTCCGTCTTCCCTCGAGGGGGAACGACGTACCCATACCGTTCTCCCTTGATGGGTCACAACTCATGAGTCGCTCACAACAACTTATATCGTAAGGACGGGACCAAACGTTTATAAGACATAAACGCCGTCCCTTTCTCATTCACTCCTATACAGTGAGACTTACAGTCGATCTACACTCAGGAATTATATATACAACCCTTTTATAATAAAACAAGGAACTACCGTTTGGGTTTCGTTACTTAAACCCAAATAATAAATATATGTGATCGGCCTGGTTAATTGCACAAGCAGCCGATTCAAGAGAAACGTTGGGTGAAAATACTAGATTTTAACTTTTAGTAATAAATAATACCTCAGACTAAAGTTAGGATAATATAATTGACATTTCTGGATTCCTTGCAGGTCAGGGAATATTTTGAATGTAAACTTCATATATTCTGCACAAAGGATAAAATATTTGCTTTGTGTAAACCAAATTATTAAAGTAGATCTAAATTTTGTATGTCTAATGGAAAATCCATGAGGTTTATATTCAAAATTATCATCATATTGTAAGAATTCCAGCAATGTAAATTATATTCTGGCCGGGTAATTTGTATGAATTTTATGAGCTAAAAAAAAAAAAAAAAAAAAAAAAAATACTTCACCGCGTATATGAGTAGATGCACTGCGGAAAGTGAAAGTCCGGTTCTGGCAAGGTACCGTGTAAATGAGAAAATGCAAAGTGAAACCGTGTAAAGCGGGGTAATACTGTATTTGTATTATTTTATTTTTATTATTATTATTTTATTATTATTATTATTGTATTATTATTATTATTATTATTATTATTATTATTATTTTATTATTATTTTATTATTTTATTATTATTATTATTATTTCATTAATATTAATTTGTTATTATTTTTATTATTATTGTTTTCATTATTATTTTATTTTTGTGAATTTTTCATTATAAATTTTATTTACTATGAATTATTATTATTTTCATTATTACATTTTTGCCCCGCAGGCCCCGATGTGGGTCAGTGACCTGTGCCCGGGTGGGCTAATCCCTGTTTAAAAAAAAAGGGGGGGGGGGGTATGTTTTGCTCCATTAAAAAACTTTCGGTTTTCGGAATTTTAGATAAGGGGTTGTCAACGTTTTTATACATTTAGTACATTCACCGGCAGATACGGACAATCGGCTTTTTCGGACAGGTGGTCCCCCCTTTTAGTCCGGATCTTTGAGGGTTCACTGTACGTATAAACTAATTTACATTTAGTTTTAATAATGAAAATTAAAAGTTATCCTCATGTGGCTTAATTGGACAATTATAAGTATTTAATGCAACAATATAAACAGGGCGATTCACGCACTGGTAACCCTGGAATTTCATTAGTACTGGTATAACTGTTATTCATGAATCAATTTACCCATCAGTGAATGTTCACTGTAGCAGTCCTCTTGAATGGTTTCAATCCCCAGGTAACTATTTTCCTTTAGGTCATCGATGGTATGAGGCTTACTTTGGAAACTTTTCCCAAAGTAGACTACCAATAATTGTATCACCTGTATGACAGCCATCACATAAATGTAGGTACAGCACTGTACTGTACTCTATTTACTGTAGCTCACTTGTTCGTGTAGATTCTGAGTCTGAGCTGCCAGCTGTGTAGTGTACTGTTGATAATGTACTACCACTTTAGACTTCTCTGCATGTGCCTGGGAGAGAGCTGCCTGAACTGCCTGAAGCTGTCTCTGGCTCTCCAGGTGGGCTGCCTGTACCTTTTCCAGTTGGGACTGTATCTCCTCACTTGTACCATCCCTCAGCTGGAAACATGTTGACACTATAAATATATCCTCGTATATAACACAAAGGCCTCATTTACAAGGGACTTCAACAATAATGAAACTGGTACCCAAAAGGGGGAACACTTTTAAAATAATCTAACTGCAAATAATGAAAGGAAAGCATTAACTATTGCAAACTCCGATACTGTATACAAGTGCAACACTACTAATCACTGTTAGGTAAGAATTATTTATAACTCATGGAGAGCTTCTATAGCTTTAACTAATCTTAGTAATATTATTCCTTAAAATGCACTTTTGTTGCCATTAGCAAATATTGATTATCCCTTACTTGCTGTACATGAAGCTGTGCCATCGCCAGCTGACTCTTGGTGTCAGTTAGCTGAGAATATAGTTTGTCATAATCATTAGTTTTCACACTCAGGCGTTCTGTTAACTCTGCAACTGAAGTTTTCAGATCTTCACACTGTTTACTGCAAAGATAATTTAAACCTAGAGTTAGCTAAAAGAAGGATTTCTTTTGCATATGCTGGTAAACTAATTAATAAGTATGTGCTGTGTAATGTCACTGTGAATACTGTACTGTATTTCTTCAATACCTAAATAATTTTTATATGTCTCCTGTCAGCTTACTAGCTTTTCAGATTCTGGTGATTATTCACTTCCTGGACTCTCAGCCTTGCCATGCACAGAAATATTAATGTACCTGACAGCATTTGGTGGTGTAAGTATATGAATTGATGGCCATTTTGACAATTAGCACAACAAGGGCAGGCTGTACTGTACAGGTATGTGCAATTCTACATACTTAGTTTTGAAATTTGCCATCTTGGCAGCATCAAGTTGCTTTGACAGGCTGTCTTGTGATGATTTGGTAGCATCTCGTTGTGAAGTAATATCCTTAAGCGTAGCTTCAACTTCTCCCACTCGTTGGCGTGATGCACTCAAGCGCCCATCTAGTTCTATAACTTCTCCTGAAACAAAACAAAATTATTAAATATTCACATTATATTGTTGATATATGGTTGAAAATTATCAAGTAAAGTCTATGGTTGATTACAGACTGCCACAGTACAGTGGGAAGCAGGGCAAATATTATTTCCTTGGTACACACAAAAATTATGGCCAAATTTTTCAACTACAGACAAAATTAATATGTTCCTGCCAAAGAGGGTACCACCCTATGAGAATGCACGATAAAAATTAAAATATTGTGTTAGTAAATAGTTTCTCAAGTGTTGAATGAGACAGTTGCACAATCATCTTACACTGACCTCCTTTCTGCTTCAGAGCATAATTGGCATGAGTAAGACTGGACTGCAGTTCTGACTTTTCTGACACCAAAATTCCAATTGTCTGAATATGCACTTCCAGTTGTTCCCTGAGGCTTTCCACTTCTCTTACGCCTCCACCCGCAGTAGAGTTTAAGATGCCACGAGCAGCATTTAATTCAGCTTCTGACCTATCCAGTTGAGCTTTCTGTATTGTAATGGTAGTCAAATTTATTAATGCATTCTTGAAAGAAGTTCACATAAAATGTTCATTCTTTCTTTGAAAACTATTAAATTAATATGCACGTGTATGAAAAAAGACACACACACACACAAATAACCAACAGGAGAAGAGAGTTCGTGGGATCAATTGTCTGGTCTCCCTAAAGTTCTCTTAAGACACATCCAGACCTACCAAACAAACATGAAAAAGTTAAGGCAAATGGTTGTTGGCTATATAAAGACGGAGGCTCAAGCATCATTTGAATGTGAATGAGCACATGTGAATGCGTTCCACTGGTGAGTCTCTTAGTGCTCAGCAGATTCATTGGTGCTGTGGTTATTGTTTATAGTAATAATTCCATGGATGCTTCTGGTCTTTTGGTTTATCATCTGTCAAGTGTGTTTATGTGTGTGACACCATCGGAGGCAGTGTGTGTGTGTGATGGCTGTGGATCAGTTCAGTCTTGTGTTCTAGCACAGGCATGGATTATCAGGAGGGCAGTCCTTGTTGTTTGCCTTTGTAACAGACTTGCTGCTAAGATTGATAAACATCCTTAAATAAACCACAATTACCGGGTATTTGCATACCAAGAATACGATACAGTCAGAAGTATAATACTGTACACAAGTAACTTTTTACAGAACCTAATGAGTAACGTTCAACCTTCTCACAGTCAGTGGAGATGAATAGGTACCAGAAGTTGGAGCTCAATAGTTAAGTGTCTGCAAGGTCAGATATAAAATGGGATCAGGGGATGAGTGACGGCTGAAGGTCATGAAAGTCACTGGGCACACCTGTAACACCAAAATTGGCTACAACTTTCATAATTATTTGGGCTCTTGACACACAATGTGTCTATGGAAAGTTATCGTGCAAACACCACCACTTCAGCATCTACCTGAAATTTTGGTTGAGAAGTTTTCAAAAAGGCAATGATAAGCAGTATGTCTGTGTTGTTTTTTTACACAAATTTGTACTACTTTTCTGAATAATCTTCATTGAAACTCCATCTGCGGGAAGCAAAGCTGGAAAAATACATCAGGCAGAGACAGTGGCGCACTGGGTCAAAAATTTCTACCGGGAAAACTTGTAAAAGGGCCCACTCAAAAGGGCCCACTTAATCCCAAAATGTAATCAAAGGAATCAAATAAAAGTAAAGGTTTTAAGCAAATAAAATGTTACATCTATTCAATATTGTTGTATTAATTTATGTTAATGCGTGCATAATATAAATACTAGAAAATTTTAATAATCTTATAATAAAAACCCTCCTCCTAGTCACAGGCTTGGCATTTGACATTATTAGGGACCTGCCACGCTTTGCTATAAACAGATGAAATGTACCGGGAACTTTACCCCCACACACTCATCATTCTCTCACTTTATGTAACTTGACAAAACCTATAACCCTTCAGGCTTTTACGCCCTTAATGTACGAGTCATAAAGGCAAGTATGAACTTTGCATACTTCCCAGATGGGCGCTGTAAACGCTTCTGCGCTTCACCTTGCACAGGATGTAAGGGGGTGCCCAATAAACTAGCCCCCTCGGGGGCAAATCTGAATCTTATAATAAAAATGAAAATCTAAATCATAGAACAACCAATATGAGTAATTTACAAAGCATAATTTGAAATTGTTTTCAAAGTAATGCATAATTAAAATTGGAACGTTTGCATTTTTTAATGTGTGCACATATCACTAAAACAGTCAAAATTCAGTAATTTACAAAGCACAAATCACCTAGACAGCAAGCAATCTAGAAAACTGTGTCGATTTTTTTCACAAGAAAAGGAATAATATCATCCACAGAAATTTCAGAAAGTAAATCTTTTTCGATGCTCATGAGCATAAAAGTTTCAAGTAGCTCATTTGATAGCGAAGAGCGTAATCGAGTTTTTACAATTTTCAACTTACTGAATGCGCGTTCGCAACTGACTTGTGTGAACGACAGGGTCAAAAAAATATTTGTAAGCTAAGAAAAATTCGAGTATGCAGATGCGTGCAAAGAATACCTAAATAGGATACGGAAACAGCAAAGCAGGCACTTCCTACATGACTTTCCAGAAGTACAACGTGAACCTGAAATTACATCAAATTACACCAAAATAGAGAGAAATAATTAAGCTTTAATACAATATACAGTATAATGTTCATATTATATTTATTGACGAATTGCTTAAAAACAAAAAAAAAACAAAACCGGAAGAAATTGGATAAAAACGGGCTGATTTGACCATTCTAGATCTATATCCGAATCTGCATGTGAATCCAAATCTTCTGCAGTCCCCACTTCACTAATATCACTGAAAAACACTTCCACACACTGTAGATCTACATCTGATTCGTTTTCATCGTCAAAATTGAAATTATCAATAAGCGATCAAAGAAATTGAAATGTGCTACCTGTTTGAAATTCACGTTGGAAAACAGCTTTTGTTCAAATTAAGATAGAGTGTAAACAAAATTAGATATAAACATCCGGTTTTTGGTAAAAATAAACAGGAAATCTCGCCGAGATTTGAATCACTAGACGATTGTAAACACATGGCGTAGTTTCAGGTCGCATTCGGGCGCATTGGTACGGACCTAGTAATGTTGCGTTCGGTCGCATTAGGGCGGATTGAGTTAATATCTCATAAACCTCATATCTCTTTTATCTTTTTTCCGCTATTTCCAAAGTGATGGACCATCACTTTGGGGTCCACCGGCAAATTTCAGGGTATATCGGTGGGCCAGTCCGCCACTGTGCAGAGAATGAGGGAAGGGATAAGGGAAATATGGAGAACAGACAAGATATGTAATGACAGTATGACCTTGAGTCTCTTTTCTCATTGCCATCCCCTAAGAGAAAAGCCTCCAAGGAGAATGCAGTGTTGCAGATACATGACTCTACTCAATGCTCTTTTACCCTGCCAGTGATATTGATTCCACACAAAGTTTTACTCCCAGATACAATTAGCATACAAATAAAATTAAAGATTCTCAATTTAGGGCACTGCAGTTAATAACACTGTGCATCCCATAGACTTTAGACCTGTACCCTAAGTGCAAACACGCCAACTGGTGTGATGGTATTTCCAGGCACTATCTTGTAAAGCACAACAGAATCTTTTGAGTCATTGCCTGAAATTTTGGATTCGTTATGATTATTAATGAATGATAGCTCAAAACACTATCTACAACCAAGTAATGAGGGATCAGACTCACTATTTGGGTTATGTATTGTGCCTGTTGCTGAGATGTTTGAGACTCCTGTTGTAGGAAAGCTGCCAACTCAGCATTTCGTCGTTCGAGTTCAGATATCGTTGAATCGGACAAGGCTGGTGCTGATACAATATGTAAATATAGGATAATTAAAAGTTAATGCCCCAGTACCGTCAAATATTACACCTTTTTCTCATATTTTTCAAGTCTCTCCTAACTCCTCCTTTTCAGTTGTTTGCTAACCCTAAACAACCACCAATTTATTATAGGTATGAAAGTTATTTACAGTCCAACAATTTTTCCTAAGAAGAATGTTTCTAATAAGAGAATGGCTACTTTGTCCAGGGTGAATATACTGTGCCATATTTATAAATCATGAACTACTGCACTGTGCTGTACTGTTGTACAGGGGGTCCCCAACTTATGAACATCCGACTTACAAACACCCGCCGATACAAACGGGGTTAAACTTATATTTACGGTATTTTATCATTATATTTCTTCTTTTTTCTTAAATTAAGTGATTTTAGATGTATATAAGGACTTGGGCTATGATATAGTGGGATTTTAAACATTGTTCTGTAAGTACGGTATGCACATAACATGTGCTCCGACTTACGTACAAACCCGACTTAAGAATGTCCTCAGGAACAGAACCCATTCATAGCCCAGGGACCCCCTGTACTGTACTGTTCTAAACTATATTTTAGCCAGAAACATTTTATAATAATGTTTTATGTTGGTTTCCATTCCAACAGAGTACAGTACATGCAGTGTATCCTGAGGTCATTAAATGACTATCTTTTGAGTAATCAACTCATTTCCTCACTCACTTATACAACAAGACACACACATACACTATACTCTGTCTATTCCTCAATTTTCACTCACAGCACAATACTGTAGACCTACACTCACAATCCTGAATCCATTCACTCAATCTTATTCACAAAACAACATACTCCATGATCTGATTGGTCAATAATGTTCTAATATATAAGCATTCCCCCAGTTATTCTTACTCTAACAAATTGAACCTCAGTAATGCACTCATTCCCCTGTTGCCATTCATAATGATACAAGTTCATCCACGTACGTGTAATTTATTCATTCCCCCAGTCACTGATACCAAACTACTCTTTGTATTGTACTCATTCCTTTATCATCAGTCATAATGATACAAGTTAACTCTACATAAAAATAAAAACCCTTCCTCTACTAACATTTATAATGTTGAGTTGATCCTTCATAATGTGATCTTTTCCTTCGCACTTAAAACTACTAAGCTGTACTGTATTACTCTAACCATTTTCCCATACTGTACTCATCATCATCAACATTTACAGCCAATTTTCCATAGTCACTGATAATAAAACAAAACAACTGTACACATTCCCATTATCACTAATAACAGTCACTGCTCTTTCCACTGTAATGTAACTATTTCTTCACTTTCATGTAATAATCCTACAACAGGTCATGTGTGTATCATTCTAATCTCTAATCCTTTATCATGCCCAAAATTAACAGTCATCACTTACTGGAATTTATACAGAATATCCTTACTCATATTTCCTAAATAATATATCACTACAGTATATTAAACCTATATCCTTATACAGTGGTCCCTCGGTTAACGAGCACAATCCATTCCAGCAGGTTGCTCGTTAACCAAAAATCTCGTTAACCAGAACCATTGTTTCAATGGGTTTTTGGGTAATTGGTTCCAGCTCACCGAAAATTGCCTAAATTCAACAAAAAAGGTAGAAAGGTACACTTACTTTGAGGTGTGTATGTGTAGAAGGCTCCTGGATGATGATGATGATGTGAATTTGAAGTGGGAGGTGGAGGAGGAGAAGGGAGAAGAGAAGGAAGTGGAGGTGGAGGAGAAGCATTTTACTGCTTCTTGGCAGGTGAGTCACCTTCCATGAAAATGTCAGGAACCTCTGGACTGAAATTTTCTCCACCATGAACATCCTCTCTCCTTCTTGAAGTGGAAGGCTGAGGGCTAGCATCATCCTCTCTCCTTGAAGTGGAAGGCTGAGGGATAGCATCTTGTTCCCTCTGCCTTTTATTGAAGAACATGTCAATTGTGGTCTGTGGGGCATCTCTCCTCCTCACCATTAACTTATGTTTCAAGGAGACCATTGAGTCCTCAACATGACACAAAGTTAGTTCAGTTTTTCCACATCTGGGTGCTTTGAAGCCAGTTCCCTGAACTTCTCCCAGTGGTAAATCACATCATTCAACTCTTCAGTTGACATATGGTCATCACTTTCAATTTCCTCCTCACCATTGTCAGCCTCTAACATCTCATCCAGTTGCTTCAAGTCATTAGGAGTAAGTTCCTCCTCATGAGACATCACAAGCTCTTCCACATCATCCTCTTCCACTTCAAGGCCCAATGACTGACCAATGGACACAATCTCCTTGTCCAACTGTGTGTCATCCTGAAATCCCTCAAAACCATGGACTACTGATGGCCACAGTGCTTTCCATGAAGAATTGAGGGATCTAGTGGGGACTTCTTGCCATGATGACACAATAAATTTTACAGCCTCCAGGATGTTGAATTGTGTCTTCCAGAACCGTTTCAGTGTTAGTTCAGGATCAGTGGAAGTTGCCTGATGGCACCTCCTAAACATTTTCTTCATGTACAACTTCTTGAAGTTGCTGATCACATTCTGCTCCATTGGCTGTATGATTGATGTAGTGTTGGGAGGCAAAAACAACACTTTCACAAAGTCAAATTGATACTCCAAAGTTCTGGCAAGTTCAGTCATGACCAGGAGCATTATCCATGAGGAGAAGAGCCTTTAAAGGGAGTTTATTGGTGGTTAGGTAGCTCTTGACACAAGGGCAAAACACCTCAACAGCCATTTCATTAAAGAGCTGTCTTGTCACCCATGCCTTACGGTTGGACTTCCAATAAACTCCAAGCTTTGCTTTTACCACTTGCTGTTGCTTGAACACCCTGGGGTTTTCAGAGTGGTAGACGAGCATAGGCTTCAGTCGGAAATCCCCTGAAGCATTGGCACCAAGCAGTAGAGTGAGACGGTCTTTCATGGGTTTATGCCCAGGTAAAGAGGCTTCATCTCTGGTGATGAATGTTCTTTTGAGCATCTTTTTCCAGAACAACCCAGTTTCATCCACATTGAACACTTGCTGTGGAAAATAATTTTCTTCTTCCATCAGTTCTTTAAATTCCACTAAAAACTTTGCTGCTCCTTCTTTATCTGCACTTGCAGCCTCACCATGCCTAACAACACTGAAAATGTCGCTTCTTTTCTTAAATTTTTCGAACCAGCCTTTGCTGGCCCGAAAATCTTCAAATTCTGTGCCTGAAGAACCAGGTTGATTTGTCTTTAAATGTTCGTAAATCTCCCTGGCTCTTTCACAAATGAATTCAGTAGAAGCTGAATCACCTTTCATCTGTTTTTCCCTAATCCAGATGAGAAGTAGCCTCTCAGTTTCTGCAATTAGGGATCTACTTTTAAATACTGGTAGATTTGTCTCACTTTCACTTCTTTAAATTTGTCTTTCTGTGCAAGAATTGTTGACACAGTTGATGTCGACATGCCATATTCTTAGCATAGCGCATTTATTCTAATTCCTTCTTCATGTTTTTTTATAATTTCCTGCTTGGTTTGGATTGAAATCACTTTTCTTGATCTCTTAGGCCCCATGCTGGATTCAAACAATGTCAATGCATGATTTTTTAAGTTAAACTTGCTGTAAATAAAGAATATTTTCTTTAAAATAACACTGCACTGCGTTATATATTGTCAATATGTAAAATAAATTTCAAAATGACCAATAATTTGCTTGGAAACACAGAAAAAAAGCATTAAGTTGAAGAGAGTCTCAAGCAAGATGTTACCACCACTGAAAACAGAGAGACACTAACGCTTGTCTGGTGTGTTAAAAGGCTGGATGGCACGCCAGAAACTAGTTTCTTTACCTTCAATTATGTTCAATAATTGTTAAAATTACTAAAAAAATTAATATTAAACTTTTAAAATTATTGAATAGTATAAATGTCTTGATATTTACTAAAATAGTAAGGAATTTAAGCCCTATAACCGATTACTGTATTGGCGGACTAATACTACAGCTGGTTGACCGCCAAGTGCAAGCGAAAACTTGTTGAGGTCGGCTCGTAAGAAACTCGTTAATCGAGGGATTGCTCGTTAACCGAAGTTAAGAATCTTATGGGAGGTAACTCGTTAACCGAAATCTCGTTAACCGAGGCGCTCGTTAACCAAGGGATCACTGTAATTCATTGAAGACCAAGACATCATTGTACTGTACATATTACCCCATTCTTCCACATAAAGGTAGGTCATCACAAGTAAAACATCTTTTTATACCCTTGTTCCCTCACCTTTACACATAAGATAAAATGTCAAAGCATTTTACTGTACTGTACCTGATTCTTCACTCTCGCTCATAAGACCGCTGAGTTGTAGTGAGATCTGCCGTAAACTTTCTGAGGAAGACTTCAATACTGGCTCGCCTTGGACCTCACCTGTAGATATGTGTATTGCAGTTGTTACACTTGCGGTTGTTTCAGAACTAACTGAACCTTCCCTCTCAAACGAATCAGAGGAAATTTGCTGTTCATGTGTTGCATCAAAGTCACTGGACAGAATCTCTACCACTGGCTCATCTTTTGGCAGATCCAATATAACTGGAGTTGGAGGAATGACTTGCTGAAGAGCTGTTGTACTTTCTGCTGTATTAACTATATGTGCATCAGGTTCTGATGATTGGATGAGCGTCATGTTTGTGAAATCTTCATTTTGTGGTAAATTTGGAGATGTGCTTGCTATATCTGAACATGACTGGGTAGTAAATGCATATGGGTCATGGTTAGAAAAACCATTTTCCACAACTGGAAGTGGATATGAGGCTGCCAGTTTCATTTCTTGATTATTTTCTTCTCCATTTGGTAATTGTGCTTCTTTATCATCCTCAATTGCAGCTTCACTGATTTTAGTGCAATGGCTTTCATTTTCATCTTCTAAAGTTGATAACACTTCAGGTAATTCTAACCTATTTACAGCCATTTGTGTGGTGTCTGTTGTTGTGAAGTGAGATCCTCCAGCTTCTGTCTCTCCTACATATCCAGATGCTGGGTCAGGAGTGCCAGCACTATAGATTTGAGATGTTGCATTTGATGCATGGATTACATTCTCACCATTGGTTAAATCCTGTGACATTGACTGTATATGAGATGAGACACTAGAATCTTCTCTGGGGGCTGCATCCTCTGACATTTCTGTAAATTCCTCAGAAGCCAAATCAAGTGAGGATGCATGTGATGACAGAGTGCCTGCTTCTGACAATGGACTTGACTCTTCCGTAACACTTCCCTGTAAAAAATTAAAATATGTATGTAAAACCCAAAAAGACAATAATGGAAATGTCCTGTCCCCAGTTACAACTGTTGTATTATACAGGCTCATATCACCTGAATAGATCCAAGAAATTTGTAATGCACTCCTAATTCAAGTGTACCTGTATTTTAACAATGTGGGTTGTTTCTACTGTTATGATAAACTACATGAGTTTTGTGAAGTGGATTTGATAAAGGGAAGAATATGTTCAATAGATGGCACTGGCCATCAGTCAAATATCTGATGTATAGGACTTGACATTCCTAGTACACAGTACAGTAGTATGTACTGTATGTGGATCTCTGTGATTGATACTGGTCAGGTGGGAGACCTGGTGAGTTTCAGAGTTAGTTGAAGAGTAATAGCTGTGAGGTCAACTTATTGTTGCCTGTCTCCCAAACCATAAGTATATTTTGTTGTTGTACTACTGATGCTCCAGAGTGATAAGGTAGTACAGTATATTGTTGTCTTTAGGATTTACTGTTAAGGTGGGATTTGCTGAACTATTTCTGACATCAGGTTTTTATAGATTTTGTATAAAAATTTAAGTAATCAGCTATTTAAATTTTAGCTTCAATATAATTTTCCTTACTTTTAGTAGAAAACTGACCTTGGTGATCTCTCGGAAATATATTGAAGAGTAAATTTTGTTGGAAGGGTCAAATAACCACCTAGTATCGTAACAGAACACATTAAAATACTTAGAACATTTATTTTAACATATGAAAATTGGAAACATATTTATGTTGTAAGAAGTGTAGAGACACTTGACATTATAAATGTCTCTGGAACTGACCAGTGCTGTAGCATCATTGGCAACTGAATTATATACAGACACAAAGGTAAAGAAACTTTAATGTTTGATATATAGATTATAGGCTTGCAGAATAAATATAATGCCAGCAACATACACAAGTGAGTGAACACATTACACAAGTAAGATTCTCTCTGTTATAACTTGCCTCCACATCTGGTGTGCCTTCTTTGCTGCTGCCTTCAATCACCCGCTTGGTGCCTTTCTTCTTCTGGAACTGTCGTAACTGTAAAAAAAAAATTATATAAATATACAGTAATACCCAGATTTACGCGGTTCTCGTTTACGCAGTACCTCGCCAGAACCGCAATTTCATTTTACGCGGTGCATCTACTCATATACGCGGGAAGCAGCACGGGCAGGATGCGCACAAGGTCGCCCAGTCATCAAAACATTACCGAGTTCTTCACCCGCCACCCACCACAGCCGACCCAAGTCAGTGATAGTGAGGATATGGACTTATATGGACTTTGAGGGGTTTGACAAAGAGGCCCTGCAAGCCTATGTGGTGGATAGTGATACAATTGATACAAGTGATACAGGTGAGGGCCAATAATCTGCCCTCTGCCTCGGAATCAACCCCCCCATCCCTGTGTGCTCAGCCATCTTTTCTACTAATGTAAGTGTTAAAAAAACTAATATTATTGATATTTCTCTTAATTATTAATTGTGTGTGCATACCATCATAAAATTAAGATGTAATTTTTACTGCAACGTAGGTATTGTGTCTGAAAAAGTGGAGTTTGGGGGTCGGGCCAGTCTCTATTGGAATTAATCCCATACTGTATGTTCTGTTCACTTTACGCGGTTTTCACTTTCCGCGGTACCCTGTGGGTTCAATTGACCGCGTAAATCGGGGTACTACTGTAATCAAATTAGTACATGTGCACTCCAGCTTTGCACTAACGTCATTTATTTCTATTATGTTTCTTTTAGTATGGTGTGTGCATGTAAATGGATGAAAATAAATGAAGAAATCTATGTAACTCTACCCAAAAATACAGTGAAAAACTTTTTTTTATAAAATGTACTTCAGTACTGTTCACTAATGTACAAGAATTTTTATCTCTTGAGCAAAATATATGACGTTTATATTCAAATTATTGGCTGTCTTGCAAGGATACCAGCAATGCAAATTATAATCTCCTAACTTTAGTCTGAGATATTATATAAGATAAAAACTGTAAGCCTAAAAGCCTGGCTGGGGGGGGGAGGGGGGAGGGAGGGAGGGAACCAGCCACGCCACCCAGCGAGGGGTTGGGGGGTTGAGGTGATAAGTTTGAGGCGAAGGTCTCTGTGTGTTTATTTAACAGTCCTACTAAGCTTCTCTCATTTGTTTAACAGTTAACTGTTAAACAAATGTTAATCAAGAATTCCCCCAACAACACAATTGGTTGCATTTATAAAGTTCCTTGCAAGGAATGTAACCTGTTTCCTCCCTACCTTGATAATGAATGGACCAAAACAGTCCCTTCCAGTGTAAGCAAATGGAGCCTTTCCAGGAGTAACACGGTCTATTGGTAAGTCAGCTTGCCTTTGATGCTGACTTCTCCAGTTGTTCCGTCGGCACACTAAACAGCGTCGTATGATTCTTTCAAGCAAGCGTCTGCCCTGGGGAATTCAATACCTTTGCCTCACACACGCCATCGTGTGTTCTCGTCCGGCATGTCCGGCTCTCTCTTCGTGCATCTCCCGCACTATGATTTCGGTGATGTGGTGGTCTCTAGGCAGCAAGATGCCTAACATAACATTTGTTTATATGTCATCATAATTATGTACCGCTTGCGGTAACAATAATAATAAATACAAGAATGAAAAATCAAAAGTGAAAAACACGACCTAGACCTATGAATGATTATTATTATTATAATTTTTATTATATTTTCGCCCCCCAGGCCCTGATGTGGGTCAGTGATATATGCCCGGGTGAGCTAATATTATAAAAAAAAAAAAAAAAACTAACCATTCTGAAAACCGAAAAATTCCAAAATCCGAAATGCCCCTGGCCCCAAGGATTTCGGATAAGGGATTGTCAACCTGTATCACGAATTAAAATTGGCTCAGAATTTTTCCAGAAAAATTCTCTCGATTCCAGGTCTGTGAACGAGTTTCCGGGGTTGAAAATCAGGCACATTTTCTGAAAAAATTCTTAGGAGGTTCTGAGAAAATTTCTCCAAATCTCTCCATTCTGTGCCTGGGATTAAATTTTCAGGGAGTTCCAAGAGATTGCATCATGCTCCAATGCATCACCACGTGCCAGACACATGGGTGGCCAAGCTGCTTGGATGTTTAGTTCATAGTCTGCTGCCATTATAGAAGACTGGTCTCTCGCTAGCTGCTGTTTTTGCATATATTTTGTTGTGCAGTGCTATACAGTCAGCCAAAGATCCAGCGACCCCAGCCTGGCAATACTTGGTAAAGTAAGGCTGTATGTAAAGGTGATTGTGATTGGTGGATCTATTTTTGGCTGTATCACTGTCAGGATAAATATTAAACAAACCAAAGGTAACATTTTTATAATAATAAACTATTCATCATTATTTTAGATCGTGAGAAGTTTCCATATGGTCATATATTTGCTTAAATAATGAAGAAAATTATACTGTATTATTGAATTGGCAACTCAGCTACAACCACAGCTGCCACAAGATTCTCATATCAAATTTTTATTTTAAATTATGACTTTCAGAAGAGCAGACAAGGTCTAGAATAAACCATATCAGGATATTTTTTTAAGTATGACCAACAGAAAATTTACACCAACCTAACATTTCATCTCAACCCCAACCTAACCATCAATCACTACTAGGCATCATCAACCCTAACAAATTCATCGATAACTGTGTTTGGTGTCTATTCTTTAGTAAACCATAACTTAACCTAACATGAACTTACCTGGACAAACACTTTATGGGCACCAATTGTCTCTTACTGTTATACGTAGCAAGAAGATTCTGGCCAAGTTTCGCATAATAATTCCAATGTGTGCTCCCTTCTCCTACTTTGTGATTTTATGTGCCGTTAATTTATTGGGCTAATATGGAGGACTTCACAACCACTTTCCCCCGTCTCAGTAATAGTAAGTTCGCCCATGGCAGGTGTTAAGTTACGCTAGGTTAGGTTAGGTTAAATTGAACTTTGAGATACACTTTTTAACACATTTGCCATAATTACGACAGTGTCCACTATAAAACACAGTGAAATTGTGGTGTTTTTAAATTTGTGTTCCACGAAAATACAGTGGCTGTGAAGTCGTAAATAATTACCAATTATTGTAGGTTATTATTTAAGTGAAATAAAGGATGGGTTAATATTTGTCCATAGGTTTTCTGCAGGTTTACATTTTTCAATATTACAGACACAAAGACAAGAAAAAATTCAACTTACAACTTCCATTCATTTCTTGTGCAAATCAATATTAAGAGTACTGTATCTCACAAATTTCTACGAGTATATTTCTATATCCACCATGTTGCGCCATATTGCTATAGTCGTTTGTCTCCTCCTTTCCTCCTCCTCTTCAATGACTTTCAAGTATCGTGTGATGTGACCTGGCTGGCCAATCATTTTTAACCCAACTTTCCACCGCAACCTTTCAGATTTTGAAGGCTTTTGTTATGGCATGTGATAAATGTTCTCTCCCATATGTAACTGTTATTCAGTGACTTTATGAGAATGACAGTGAATCAATAAAAATATTACAAGATCACAGTGGCCTACCAACATCAAGACTGTGTCCTAAGTGTGGAAATTGTTTAGGTTTAAGAAAAGGGTAAATTTGTACTTTCGAACCTACAGTCTGCGAGGAATATTAAATCGCGATAAGGCCGACGAACTAAGTTCTTGCGAAAATAAGATCATATGTTGTGAAAGGCTGTCCTGGGATGCGAGATGTCAAAACGCTTGGTTTGCTGGCAAGTGGTGACATTTGGCAACTGAGAACACCTCACGGCTTGTAGTCAGTGCGCCTCTGGCAACTGTGAGGGGAAGATTTATTGTGAGGGTTCGAGCACCATGTGGCCATGTTTTGTCTAGTTTAAGGTGCATTAACCCGACATAGTGGCCATCAGAGATGTCCAGGAGGGTTACTACAAGAGATGATATTGCAGCAGTGATTGCACTGTACAAAGCAAACCATGTACTGAGAGAAATTTAGGCTCAGACTGGTGTGGCATTACGAGTTGTTCAAAATCTTGTCAAACGTTTCCGTGACCATGGAGAGGACGAGTTACCAGCTCCATTACCTAAGTCTGGTAGGCCTAAATTATTGTCTCCACGGACACTTAAGGTTATTTCTCGACAAGTTCGGTCCAATCCCTCACTCACAGCACGTAAAGTGAAAGAGAAACCCCCGTCTTTTGAGTCACGTCTCGTTACGTTGTGTTCAACAAGCCCTGCACGATGACCTGAGATTTAAGAGCTTTCGTGCCCGCTGTAAACCTCTGTTGACAAAGAGACAGAAGGAAAATAGAGTGAAATTTTGCAAGAAATATGAAGCGTGGGATTTAGAGTCATGGAAAAGTGTATTGTGGTCCGACGAGGCTACATTTTCTGTGACTGGGAATACTGGTGCAAGGGTGTACCGCCCGCCCCACTCAGACGCACACCTCCCACAGTATACTGTAAAGACTGTTAAGCACCCTGCCTCGCTTATGGTTTGGGCTTCCTTTACATATTATGGTGTTGGTGAACTAGTAATCCTCCCTAAGAATCAGATGATGAATCAATACAACTATCTTGAACTGCTCAGTGATTTCTTACCTGAATCATTTGATAAAGCTAAGGCAAGCCTTTTCATGCAGGACGGTGCCCCATGCCACACTGCTAAAAGTGCCATACAGTGGCTCAAAGACTGTGAGGTACCTTTCTTTATTGACTGGCCTGGCAGTAGCCCAGATCTTAACCCAATAGAAAATTTGTGGTCCATTGTTAAGCGTCATCTGCGCGACGCTGACACATCATCAATCCCGAAGCTAGAGGCAGCCATCAAGGATACCTGGGCTAACTTGCCACCTGACCTCTTGCAAAACCTTGCTGACAGTGTTCCTCAAAGGCTAAAAGACTGTCTGAAGCGCAGAGGAAACACTACAAAGTATTAATTGAAGTGGTAAGTGTTACTTGACTTTATTTATATAACATAATCATAAATATCAATATTTTTTCAACACGCGATCTCACATTCCGCGCAGACTGTAAGTCCCAAGGGGTTGACCAATATGTTTTTCCAGTGTGTTTTAAGCGAATCTAACCTTCATTTTTGTCGGAAATTGCTCATTTTTGCCCTATCCCGACCCCCCAACAATAATGGGGAAAGCCTGATAAATCGGGGCCTTTGGGTGGTGGAGAACATGAAAACGAGTCATCTAAACTAACGCACCTAACAACTTCATGTAACGTAACCTTACCTAACCCCTAGCCCGTACCCCTAGTAGGCCTAGCTTAAACTAACCTATCTTAACCAAATCTAGCCTAACCGGGGGTCAGAGTAACATTCATTTCCAACTAGTATAAATGGGGTTCAAAAGACTCAGAATATGGAGATCTAAACGTTTCAGTAGTTTAAAACTTTGGAGCGTGTCATGTCCGTAGGAGCACGAATCACACCCAACCTCCACCACGGCCATTGTCAGACTGGTGATTGAAATTAAAATGGTAAAAATGGGGTTCAAAATGCTCAAAATATAGAGATCTAAATGTTTCAGTAGTTTATATCTTTGGGGTGTGCAATGTCGGAATGTAAAATAAAACCAAGAAAGCACAGAAATTACCATCCTCCACCATTTCCTTCTCCAGATTGCCCAGCTGTATCCTCCACCACAGTGGAAGGTAAGCTCACAAAAAAAAAGGGCTAGGTTGTATATATTGTAGGTTAGGTTAGTGTTAGGCATTTTTTTTTGGGGGGTTATAGTGTTTACTCAAACCTGACCACCAATTTTTTGCATATTAGCAGTTTGTTCCAAATTTACCTTACTTTTTTTCTTTTATCCTCTTCACCACTGTTCAGCTCATTAGGCATTAGGGCGATCGGTTATGTCTCTGTTACGCACTATTGGCAAGAACTGAGCATGCACTGGCTGAGACTCAATGTCAAGGAGTGTAAGAGGATGCACCTGGGACGTACCAACAGTAAGGAGGCGTATCATATGTCCCAATGGGACGAAGAGACTGCATTAAATGAGACAGAATGTGAAAAGGGCCTGGGTGTGTACTGTATGTTGACAATGAACTGAAGTTCTCGAGTCATTGCGAGAAGAAGGTAAACCAGGCAACTAATTTATTAGTCCTTTAAGGTCGTTCAGATATCTAGATGGTCCGTCCCTCATAACGATCTTCAAGAGTGATGTGCTTCCCCATCTGGAGTACTGTCATCCCGTCTGGTCCCCGAGATATGCTACAGACTGTCAGCTGATTGAAAATGTCCAAAGGAGGGCCACCAGATTGGTGCCTGCACTGCGGCTCCTCAGCTACCCAGAGGGATTAGAGCGCCTGAACTTGCCTAGCTTGTACTACAGACAGGCAAGGGGAGATCTGACTGAGGTGTACAAGCATCTCAGTGGGCACTACTCAGTCGAGTGTCCTTGCCTGTAGCTGGCAGATGCTCGCCCCACAAGGGGTCACAGCTCAAGATTGAAGAAGCTGCAAGTCCAGATAACTGTGAGGGGTAACGGCACCGAGTGTGAGCTCTTTCAAGACCAGACTTGACCAATGAATATGTCCTTTTTTTTTTAAACGCTAATTTGCACAAGAAATGAAGGTCCAAAACCTGAGGACAGCCAATGGACAAATATTTACCAAAGGATGTTGCTCTCGTGTACCAATATGATAAAAAATCAGCTTATCATCACTTATGTTTCATCTCGCACGGCTCCTATTAATTTGAGGTAGAATATAACTACCTATTTCTTAATAGTGAGGAATGGATGGGGCAGGAATTAACCTGAGGCACAGTGTAAACTTTAATACGAGATCAACCCATACCTTGTAGGTATTGACTTGTGCCAGCTGTCAACAGTTAGCACCGAGCATCAGCTGATGACGACCCGTTTGTTTACTTGTCAAAACTGGATGATTTAAGGTCACCCTATAAAACCGGCATCGCGATTTATGTCACCAATTTCCTGGGGGATTCACAAATAAAAATTTTTCATTTTAGCTTCATCTTAAATACAGTGTATATAGCATAATTTACCTTTTTCCTCGCAGCAGCAAGCTTCTGCTCCCGCACCGAGTCTGCCATGTTGGAGCCTCAGCCTCGTCTCGGGGGTTGACGTCGACACACCGCACATGATGACGTCATTCATTTGTATCAGAGAGAATGTTAAAAGGACTAACATACACAATTTATATTTACTTTATTCCCTTCTCCACTGATCGGTCTGCTTTCCATCGCTCTATGAAAGAGCTGACTTCTTCCTTGAAAACACAGGGCTTTATAATCCTTGGTTGGATGACCGCCTAACCCTAAGAAAGCTGTTGGTATAAGGACTCAACTGGAAACAAGCCTCTCGTGGCTTTGTTAGCTGACCTTGGTCAAACTGACTGAATATTAATTGTTACTTTTATCCTCTTCGCCACTGATAGGTCCATTAGCCGTTTGGGCTTACGAACACTGTTTCGCACTATTACAAAATATTGGCAAGTACTGGACATGAACTGGCTCCTGAATGTATAGGTAGGTACCTGCTCCAGTGTCAAGTCTGGTCTTGAAGTAGCTCACATTCGTGACTGCCACGGCACTCTGGCAGATTATCAAGATAGAAAAAATGAACTCGATAAAACAAAACTCGGCCATTTAACATTCTGAATCAAATCTTGGAAATGGAGAAAAGACGGTATGTGAATTAACTTCATTCTTTGTTTTTTCTTTATCCTCTTCACCACTGATCAGCTTGTAGTGGAATTCTCCCCTACAAACGCTGTTTGTCGCTGAGTAGTCGACCCCACCAATTTCTCAGTGTATGCCTCGTGGTCTGGGTCAACCAGCGCCGCCATACATCACGGAGCGGGGGTCAACTACTAAGCCACGCCTACCCCCCGCTATTTAAGACCTGACCTCGTGGTGACCTGTCTCTTTCTACCTACACCAACCAGCCAGCAACACCTCCTCTGCCTGCCTGGTGGTCCTCGCTCCCGCCGGCGAGCATGGCGACCCACAAGCTGTCCTCCTCTGAGCATCCTCACCAACCAGCTCTCTCTACTCAACGCTTGTAACCATGCTGCCTTCCCAGCACCAAGCTGCATTGTACATCCAATACAACATGTATATAGAGAGCACATTGTGAGTTTCCTTTCTCCATCCCATCCTGAGTGTGAACCAAATATCCTGAACCCCACAAGCTCGTTAGCCGCTTGGGAGATCGGTCACGTCTCTGTTACACACCATTGACAAGTCTGGTCTTGAAAGAGCTCACATTACTATGCCTGTATTTTGTATATAGTTAATAAAATACATACATTATTTATAATTTCAGGATATATATGCTTAAACTTAAATAAATGAGATAATTTAAGAAATGGGGAATTTTCATCCATGAATTTAGAGAAATTTGAATCCAACAGTCTGGCAGCACTGCTGGGTGACAAGATATAGCAGCTACTCCTAGTACTCCCCAGTGCTGCCCTTTTGAGGAATATCGTCTGCTAACGAGGAAAACATATGACAGTTGGTGACGTCATGAGGAGAGGCCGTCCACATTCTACGTCAGAGACGCCATGAGGAATATATTCCTCATTGTTCAAGAAATGCATATAAAATGTAAAGGACTTAATAATTTTTTCTTCAGTAATATATATTGTGGGGTTCAGGATGTTTGGTTCACACTCAGGATGGGTTGGAGAAAGGAAACTCACAATGTGCTCTCTATATACATGTTGTATTGGATGTACAATGCAGCTTGGTGCTGGGAAGGCAGCATGGTTACAAGTGTGATGTAGAGAGAGCTGGTTGGTGAGGATGCTCAGAGGAGGACCAGCTGTGGGTCGCCATGCTCGCCGACGGGAGAGAGGACCGCCAGGCAGGCGGAGGAGGTGTTGCTGGCTGGTTGGTGTACTTTTACTTTCACTTTTATCCTCTTCGCCACTGATCGGCTTGTTAGCCGCTTGGGCGATCGGTCACGACTCTTTTCCTTTATATTCTTCACCAAAAGGTCGGCTCGCTAGCCGCCCGGGCGATCGGTCACGTCTCTGTCACGCACTGTTGGCAAATACTGGGCATGCACCGGCTCCTGAATGTACCTGAACCCGCTCCAGTGTTGGTCAAGTCTTCTCTTGAAAGAGCTCACACTCGGTGCCGTCACTTTCTGGTAGATTGTTCCAAGAGTTTACAACCCTCACTCCGAAAAAGTTTGCCCTCACGGTTTTCCGGACTTGCGGCTTCTTCAATCTTGAGCTGTGACCCCTTGTGGGGCGAGCGTCCGCCAGCTCCAAGTAAGGACACTCAACTGAGTAGTGCCCCCTGAGATGCTTATAAACCTCAACTAGGTCCCCCCTTGCCCGTCTGTAGTATAAGCTAGGCAAGTTCAGGCGCTCCAATCTCGCAGGGTAGCTGAGATGCCGAAGTGCAGGCACCAGCTTGGTGGCCCTCCTTTGAACATTTTCAACCAACTGACAGTCCCTAGCATATCTCGGGGACCAGATGGGGTGACAGTACTCCAGATGGGGAAGCACTTCACTCCTGAAGATCGTCACGAGGGACGGACCGTCTAGATATCTGAACGACCTTCTTATAAGACCCAATAATTTATTTGCCTGATTTACCTTCTTCTCACAATGGCCCGAGAACTTCAGCTCATTGTCAACATACACACCTAGGTCCTTCTCACACACAGTCTCAACTAGTACATTTTCTTCATCCCGTTGGGACATATGGTACGCCTCCTTACCGTTGGTACGCCCCAGGTGCATCCTCTTACACTTCGTGACATTGAATCTCAGCAGCCATTCCTTCGACCATTCCTGGAGCCCACAGAGGTCCTTCTGCAGCTCTTCACAGTCCGCTTGGTTCTTAATTTCCCGAAATAACTTGGCCATCATCGGCAAACATTTGTATGGAGGAGTGTACAACGTCAGGCATATCATTTATGAAACAAACAAACAACAGCGGGCCCAATACACTACCCTGCGGTACCCCACTTGTTACAGGTACAGATGACGATTTCGTGCCATTAATCACCACACATTGCTTGCGGTCATGTAGAAAGTCTTCTATCCACGCTAGGACATTTCCCCGAATTCCGTACCCTTCCAGTTTGATTTTCAGCCTTTCGTGGGGTACACTGTCGAAAGCCTTGGCAAAATCTAGGTAAATATTGTCGATATTACCACCCCGTTCTAGAATATGGGTCCAAATATCCAATACCTTGAGCAATTGTGTCAAGCAAGAGCGCCCCGGCATAAAACCGTGTTGGCAATCTTTTACAAGGTTGTTTCGTAGTAGATGTTCCATCGCTGCATCTCTGATAATACTCTCAAGTACTTTACATATTATGCTGGTCAGGCTCACCGGTCTATAGTTGTTCGTGGAGTGCCTATCGCCCTTCTTGAAGATAGGACTCACATAAGCCACTTTCCATTCACTGGGGACCATTTGTTCATCCAGGCATTTACAAAACAGAATCTTCAGGGGCTCTGCAAGCTCGTTGCACAGCTCCCTTAGCACTCTAGGATGCACCATGTCAGGTCCAGGACTCTTATGGACCTTTAGCCTGGACAGTTTATTTCTAATACCCTCTTCTGTGAACACAATGTGGGTCAGTGCTGTGTCGAACCGTCTGTCCTCAAACGCAGGAAGGTTAGTTGCATCCTCTCTTGTGAACACTGAGGAAAAGAAGCTGTTCAATGCCTCAGCTTTATCCTGGTCAGAATCTGCGTAACTACCATCTTCAAGCCTCAGGTCTGATACTCCTACTCGCGTTTTCAATTTCGACTTTGCATAGCGGTAAAACGCCTTTGGGTTTGACTTGACCTCGCGTGCAACCAGCCTTTGGAACTCCTTTTCAGCCCTCCTACACTCTATCTTTGCTTGGTTTCTGGCTCTTGCATACATCCTCCTGTCTTGCTCATCGTTTGACCCAACCCACGTCTTGAATTTCTGGGTTTTCTTCTTAATTTTGTCGACCGCCGCATGGTTCATGTGTAGGGATCCCCTCGTATTCCTAGAAGCACTGGGCTTGGTCTTGGGTATATATTTATCGATCAAATGGGTCATTTTACTAGTTATGATATTCAGCGTAGTGTCTGCGTTCTTGTACCTTAATAAGTCAGGCCAGTTGATACCCCTCATCTCTTCCCTCATCCCATTGTAATTTCCCTTGTAATATTTGCACCTTGGCCTGGCCTTATCTTGAACTAGGTAACAGTTAAATCTGAATGACAACACTGTATGGTGACTGGTGCCAACTGGGGCAAGGTGTTCCAGTTTGGCCACCATACCCTCCTCGTTTGTTATGATGAGGTCAAGTGGCTTGGGTGTTTGCTCCCCTCTGTAATGTGTCGGGTCTCTCACATGTTGGAACAGAAAATTATCTCTCAGAGTTTCTACAAAAAGAGTAGCAGGATTATTCAAGTCATTCGGGGTTGACTCGTTTCTCCAGTCGATGTTGCCATAGTTAAAGTCCCCCATGATAAGGAGGTGGCTGGGGTTGAGCATCGCCGCATTGTTTATTAAGGTTCTTAAGTTCCTTTGATTTAGTGGGCCACAGTTCGGGGATCTGTAGATACACCCGACGATAAGTAAGTCCCCTCCCTTTAATTTAATTTTACACCACTTGGACTCTTCAAAGACATCCTCTCCCTGTACCCTCGCCTGGCTGGCTCTAAGGTCTTGCCTAGCGTAGATAACCACACCCCTCCTGCAGGATTCTTGAGTTAGGTTCGTAAATGAGTCATATCCAGCAATACTGAACTCACATTCCTCTGGGTCGATTCTCCTGTTCTTGTACAACAGTTCTACAACTCCTACAATATCTGGTTGGTGTACTCTTAGTAGTGTTTCAAACTCCTCCCTCTTATCAAGGAACGTGTCGGTATTAGTGTACATGACATTCAAGCCAGGTAGAAAGAGACAGGTCACCACGAGGTCAGGTCTTAAATAGCGGGGGGTAGGCGTGGCTTAGTAGTTGACCCCCGCTCCGTGATGTATGGCGGCACTGGTTGACGTAGACCACGAGGCATACACTGGGGAATTGGTGGGGTCGGCTACTCAGCGACAAACAGTGTTTGTAGAGGAGAAATCCACTACAAGGTATTGTCTCTTCCAACATCCAATGCAGATGCAGAGAGACTATTTTCTAAATTAAACTTAATGAAAACAAAATCCAGAAACCCTCTGCAAACTCCCTCGATTAATTCATTATTAGCCTTGTCTGAGGCTGTGAAATTCCAGGGTGGATGTATAAATTTTATACCAAATCAGAGGATGCTAATTTCTATTTGATATTTTTTGTTCAATTAGTGTTTAAGGTTCCCATGTTATGTTATAATATTATATGCTTGCAGGGTTTTTGTATGTGCATGTTTATATTTTGCCAAGACATTACAATAGTTATACCTAAAATTCATGCTTTTTAATGACCATTAATACCCAACGAAAACGCGAGAACAAATGACGTCATAAAGCAGAGTTATAGACGGCAGCGCTGGTACTATTCCCTTAACCCCCCAGTAACAGCCCGTCCTTTCCTTAAGGTGTTTGCAGTCACTTGAGCAGTTTGTAAATAGTGGCGTTGTGGCGGTGGCATAAAGTAATTTTATGCATTTAATATTATTGAAGACTACATATAAATTATACTTCCATTTGTTATGTAAGTACAGAATTAGTATATATTGATTTACTTACATAAGTGTCTGCTAGTGACCTTGTAGATTACTGTCGTGGTACTGTGTCAGGGTTGTGGGGTACAAGGTGTTTGGTTCGCACTCAGGATGAAATGGAGAAAGGAAACTCACGATGTGCTCTCTCTGATCTCAACAGCCAACCAGGGAGTGTAGTACTGTGCCTTTAGTTAAATCAGTTCATAATTGTCATCAGTGAATGCAGAAGAGACTATAAATAACTTAAAGTGAATACATATTGGCAATCAAGCTGGTAAGGACAACTGTCAGCCTATTCGTGTCATAGGTGCCACAGAGACTTTAAATTTTATTTGGTTTGTGTGCTTTCTCAAGGACTGAAACTGTGTTTATAATACACCATTCACAGGGAGATACAGTGTACACAGGAGGTTGGCAGAGTTGCGTGCCACATGTGAGGCAGAACGGCGGTGCATGCCACATGTGGGACATTATTACTTTTTTTTACTTTTATCCTCTGCGCCACTGATCGGCTTGTTAGCCGCTTGGGCGATCGGTCACGTCTCTTTTCCTTTATATTCTTCACCAAAAGGTCGGCTCGCTAGCCGCCCGGGCGATCGGTCATGTCTCTGTCACGCACTGTTGGCAAATACTGGGCATGCACCGGCTCCTGAATGTACCTGAACCCGCTCCAGTGTTGGTCAAGTCTTCTCTTGAAAGAGCTCACACTCGGTGCCGTCACAACACTTTCTGGTAGATTGTTCCAAGAGTTTACAACCCTCACTCCGAAAAAGTTTGCCCTCACGGTTTTCTGGACTTGCGGCTTCTTCAATCTTGAGCTGTGACCCCTTGTGGGGCGAGCGTCCGCCAGCTCCAAGTAAGGACACTCAACTGAGTAGTGCCCCCTGAGATGCTTATAAACCTCAACTAGGTCCCCCCTTGCCCGTCTGTAGTATAAGCTAGGCAAGTTCAGGCGCTCCAATCTCTCAGGGTAGCTGAGATGCCGAAGTGCAGGCACCAGTTTGGTGGCCCTCCTTTGAACATTTTCAACCAACTGACAGTCCCTAGCATATCTCGGGGACCAGATGGGGTGACAGTACTCCAGATGGGGAAGCACTTCACTCCTGAAGATCGTCACGAGGGACGGACCGTCTAGATATCTGAACGACCTTCTTATAAGACCCAATAATTTATTTGCCTGATTTACCTTCTTCTCACAATGGCCCGAGAACTTCAGCTCATTGTCAACATACACACCTAGGTCCTTCTCACACACAGTCTCAACTAGTACATTTTCTTCATCCCGTTGGGACATATGGTACGCCTCCTTACCGTTGGTACGCCCCAGGTGCATCCTCTTACACTTCGTGACATTGAATCTCAGCAGCCATTCCTTCGACCATTCCTGGAGCCCACAGAGGTCCTTCTGCAGCTCTTCACAGTCCGCTTGGTTCTTAATTTCCCGAAATAACTTGGCGTCATCGGCAAACATTTGTATGGAGGAGTGTACAACGTCAGGCATATCATTTATGAAACAAACAAACAACAGCGGGCCCAATACACTACCCTGCGGTACCCCACTTGTTACAGGTACAGATGACGATTTCGTGCCATTAATCACCACACATTGCTTGCGGTCATGTAGAAAGTCTTCTATCCACGCTAGGACATTTCCCCGAATTCCGTACCCTTCCAGTTTGATTTTCAGCCTTTCGTGGGGTACACTGTCGAAAGCCTTGGCAAAATCTACAGTAGGTAAATATTGTCGATATTACCACCCCGTTCTAGAATATAGGTCCAAATATCCAATACCTTGAGCAATTGTGTCAAGCAAGAGCGCCCCGGCATAAAACCGTGTTGGCAATCTTTTACAAGGTTGTTTCGTAGTAGATGTTCCATCGCTGCATCTCTGATAATACTCTCAAGTACTTTACATATTATGCTGGTCAGGCTCACCGGTCTATAGTTGTTCGTGGAGTGCCTATCGCCCTTCTTGAAGATAGGACTCACATAAGCCACTTTCCATTCACTGGGGACCATTTGTTCATCCAGGCATTTACAAAACAGAATCTTCAGGGGCTCTGCAAGCTCGTTGCACAGCTCTCTTAGCACTCTAGGATGCACCATGTCAGGTCCAGGACTCTTATGGACCTTTAGCCTGGACAGTTTATTTCTAATACCCTCTTCTGTGAACACAATGTGGGTCAGTGCTGTGTCGAACCGTCTGTCCTCAAACGCAGGAAGGTTAGTTGCATCCTCTCTTGTGAACACTGAGGAAAAGAAGCTGTTCAATGCCTCAGCTTTATCCTGGTCAGAATCTGCGTAACTACCATCTTCAAGCCTCAGGTCTGATACTCCTACTCGCGTTTTCAATTTCGACTTTGCATAGCGGTAAAACGCCTTTGGGTTTGACTTGACCTCGCGTGCAACCAGCCTTTGGAACTCCTTTTCAGCCCTCCTACACTCTATCTTTGCTTGGTTTCTGGCTCTTGCATACATCCTCCTGTCTTGCTCATCGTTTGACCCAACCCACGTCTTGAATTTCTGGGTTTTCTTCTTAATTTTGTCGACTGCCGCATGGTTCATGTGTAGGGATCCCCTCGTATTCCTAGAAGCACTGGGTTTGGTCTTGGGTATATATTTATCGATCAAATGGGTCATTTTACTAGTTATGATATTCAGCGTAGTGTCTGCTTTCTTGTACCTTAATAAGTCAGGCCAGTTGATACCCCTCATCTCTTCCCTCATCCCATTGTAATTTCCCTTGTAATATTTGCACCTTGGCCTGGCCTTATCTTGAACTAGGTAACAGTTAAATCTGAATGACAACACTGTATGGTGACTGGTGCCAACTGGGGCAAGGTGTTCCAGTTTGGCCACCATACCCTCCTCGTTTGTTATGATGAGGTCAAGTGGCTTGGGTGTTTGCTCCCCTCTGTAATGTGTCGGGTCTCTCACATGTTGGAACAGAAAATTATCTCTCAGAGTTTCTACAAAAAGAGTAGCAGGATTATTCAAGTCATTCGGGGTTGACTCGTTTCTCCAGTCGATGTCGCCATAGTTAAAGTCCCCCATGATAAGGAGGTGGCTGGGGTTGAGCATCGCCGCATTGTTTATTAAGGTTCTTAAGTTCCTTTGATTTAGTGGGCCACAGTTCGGGGATCTGTAGATACACCCGACGATAAGTAAGTCCCCTCCCTTTAATTTAATTTTACACCACTTGGACTCTTCAAAAACATCCTCTCCCTGTACCCTCGCCTGGCTGGCTCTAAGGTCTTGCCTAGCGTAGATAACCACACCCCTCCTGCAGGATTCTTGAGTTAGGTTCGTAAATGAGTCATATCCAGCAATACTGAACTCACATTCCTCTGGGTCGATTCTCCTGTTCTTGTACAACAGTTCTACAACTCCTACAATATCTGGTTGGTGTACTCTTAGTAGTGTTTCAAACTCCTCCCTCTTATCAAGGAACGTGTCAGTATTAGTGTACATGACATTCAAGCCAGAATTTGTTCTCGGTAACGTCTCTGCTCTTAGTAATAAACCCGCTCCACCCACATTCTCAGAAGCTGCAGCATTTGCTAAGTACACTGTATTTTGCAGGGTGTGGTTAAAAATGTCATTGTTTACACGGCGCTCGTTCCCTCCTGTCCGGTAGGCTGAGCTGGTGCCGCCTCCCGGGTGGGGGGTTGAGTGGGTGGAGGGTGCACTGCTGCCCCCTGGCCCTGTGTCGGCACACTTGTTTCCACTACCCTCCCCCTGAGTATAACCCATGTGCACCTGTCCCCGTTCCTCCTCGACTCCTCCCTCTTCTGCTTCAAGTCCAGCAGGAGCTTCTTGTGCTGTTCCCTCTGCATTACCGTGCGGCGAGGGCGTGGATGAGCCGACCGCTAGGGGGGCAACTCTGTCTAGGTACACGAGATCTGTGGGAGAAAAGAGAGAGAGGGAGGGTTGTGGAGGCGATGAATGTTGTGCTTCACTCGCGACAGGTAAAGAGTCCTCAGATGCGCCTGCTGGGGTGTGTGGGCCTGGGTCAGGAGCAGGGGCTGCGTCAGCAGGAAGAGGGTCCATGACAGCAGCAGGGAGCATGACAGCAGCAGGGTCCACGACAGTAGCAGGGGGTACCTGAGGGAGAAAAGAGGGGTGTGTGGGTCCGCACTCAGGCGCATGGGCCGCGTCGGGAGCAAGGGCTGCATCAGGAGGAGCGGCAGGGGGTACTGCTGGGCCGGGGGCGGCGTCTGAGGCAGGACGGGTGTGTTGGGGTCGGTAGGAACATAAGAACATAAGAAAGTGGGATACTGCAGGAGGCCGACTGGCCCATACAGGGCAGATCCCTTTCACACCCATCCCAGCACTTCCATGTGCCTATCCAACTTCGTCTTGAAGCTCCCTAGCGTCCCCGATCCTACTATAGCACTCGGTAGCCTATTCCACATATCCACAACTCTATTACCAAACCAGTGCTTGCCTATATCCTTTCTGAATCGGAATTTATCTAATTTAAATCCATTTGTTCTAGTTATTTCGTTATTACTGAGCTTCAGAACATCTTCCATTTTACCCTTGTTAATCCCACTTACCCACTTGTACACCTCTATCATATCTCCCCTAACTCTACGCCTCTCTAATGAATGTAAGCCTAAGCTTTTCAGTCTTCTTCATATGGAAGGTTTCTAATATTATGGATCATTTTTATCATTCTTCTTTTGTACTTCCTCCAAAGAATCTATGTCCATTCTATAATAAGGACACCAGACCGAACCAAGATAATCCATGTGTGGCCTCACTAATGCTAGGTAAAAGTTTCAAGATAACGTCAGCAGTTCTGTTACTACAGACCTAGATATAGAACCCAAGAATCCTGTTTGCCTTGTTGGTGCCAAGCACATTGTTTTCTGTGTTTCAAGTCGCTGCTAACAACACACCTAGGATCTTTTTCACAAAACTGAGTTTTCTATTTCCGTGTTACCTAGTTTATACTTAACGTTTGTATTCGTCTTCCCTATCTGTAGTACCTTGCATTTATCAGTATTAAAATTCATTTGCCAGTTTACTGACCACTCATGTAAGGTATCTAGATCTCTTTGAAGGTGTTCAAAGTCACTGTCTGAATTTATCACTCTCCCCATTTTGGTATCATCTGCAAATTTACTAATCCTACTAGTTATACCTAAATCAAGATCATTAATGAATATAACAAACAGCAGATGGCCTAATACAGATCCCTGGGGAACTCTGCTTTTGACCGCACCCCAGTCTGACTTAAATCCATTTCTGCTGACTCTTTGTTTCCTACCAGTTAACCATGACCTAATCCATTTTAATAATGATACACCTATTCCATGTGCTTCTACCTTCCTTATCAATCTCTCATGAGGGACTCTATCGAATGCTTTACTGAAATCTAAATAAATTATATCATATGACTTATCATTATCTACCGCTTCATATACTTCTGAGAAAAAGCTAAGCAAATTTGTGAGATAAGAACGTCCCTGGGTGAAACCGTGCTGAGAAGAATGAATTAAGTTGAATGTTTCAAGGTGGCTTCTGATTTTTGTAGCAATAATTGACTCTAGCAACTTGCCTATGATTAACGTGAGACTAATGGGACGGTAATTTGATGCAATTGATTTATCACCTTTTTTGAAAATCGGAACTACATTTGCAAGTTTCCAAGCTTCTGGCACTAGGCCCGATTCTAATGACTTATTAAATAAAACTGCTAATGGATTACTCAACTCATCTCTACATTCTTTTTATATTCTAGCATATACCTCGTCTGGACCAGGCGATTTATGAGGCTTCAGTTTGTTAATTTCTTTAAGCACATCGTTACTAGTAATATTGATATTCATCAACATATTTTCTATACTGTCGTTATATAAATTTTATGGAACTTGAAACTGTGCTAGGTTTTCATTTGTGAATACGATGAAAATGACTATTTAACGTACCACACATTTCTAACTCATCATCAGTCATTTCTCCCAATGTAGTTTTAAGGGACCTATTGTATTCTAACCTTGATTTATATAAGGTTGATAAAAGCTTTGGGGTTATTTTTCGATTCGCTTTTGCTACCTGATTTCATAATTCTCTCTTGCTTCTAATTTCTGTTTTTACCTGTCTTGTTAGGTTCTGATAGTAACCAAGTAAGTGATTTTACTTTTCTAATCCTTTTTCTATATACCTCTTTTTTCCCTAGAAGATCTAAGAGTCTATTATTCATCCATTTTGGTTTGTTCTGTATCGATCTGAATTTTCTTTTAGGGATGTGTTTATTTTGAGCATTATGGATTGTCGCAATAAATTGTTCATAAGTAGCTGCTAAATTAAATTCGGGGTTCTCCCGTCCTAAGTTGACAGTTTCCAGAGGTGTGGGGGGGATTAATCTTTTGACCATAGGGTCATCCCTTAGGTCTCTCCTTAAGCTACTGTAATTAGCCTTCCTAAAATCCGGGATCAAGGCCGAATTTTCCTTCTTCCTGCCATCCCATATTATGTTAAAATATATGGCTTTATGATCACTGTTTCCTAGTTCGTCTCCAATCCCAACATCTTTTACTAGATTTTCATTATTACTGAGAACTAAATCGAGGATATTATTTCCTCTAGTGGGCGAGTTTATGAATTGATATAAAAAACTATCTTGTACTACTTCTAGAAAATCTTCAGATTCATTATCGCTAAGTTGATTTTTCCAATCTATGCCCGAAAAGTTGAAATCGCCTAGAATACATACATTGTTTCTATTAGATGCCTTCTTTATTTCCTCCCATAGCAATTTACCATCGTTCCTACTCAAATTAGGTGGTCTATATATAACACCAATGACTACGGATTCACTGCCCTCACCAATCTCTACCCAAATACTTACATTGTCGCTATTTGTTTTAATGTTTGATTTATTGCAGCTTTTTAATGACACCCTGATATACACTGCTACACCGCCACCTCTCCTTCCTACTCTGTCAGATTTAAATAGGTTATATCCTGGAATATGAAATTCTGCTAAAAAATGCTTGCTGTTTGAATTTATCCATGCTTCCGTTATTGCAATTATATCTATGTTCTCTTTACTAACAATGGCCCTGAGCTGGTCCATTTTGTTACACAGGCTTCTACTATTAGTATAATAAACACTCAATATATTTCTTCCGTTTCTATCTGTTTTACATTTATTACTTTGATGTTTGTTATTATGACGAACTATATTTTCAGCATTATCTACTTCTGTTTCACTACTTCCCAGGACCTGCTTGTTTTTTGACTCCCATTTTCCCCGACCCCTCTCTACTGGCGAAAACCCCCCTTCGGAGTGACAATTTCACCCTCCAGGGATGCAGACAACGTCTTTACCCCCTCACGAGACAAGTGTACTCCGTCGCGACAGTACAGGTAGTCGTTGCCATAAAATCGTTGCCAGTCATCAATGAATGCCCAACCATTGTTTGCACAATGTTTTTCCAGTCGGCAATTAATAGCAATTGCCCTGGACAGCCATTCACGACCAACCCCTCTTCTAGGCAAGACACCACATACCATCGGGATCCCTCCCCTATCTCTAATCTTCCCCAGCGCCTCCCTATACCTCTTGAAAAGTTCCTCACTCCTAACCTTACCTATGTCGTTTCCTCCCACACTAAGACACACTACTGGATTGGTACCCTCCCCTGACAAAACTCTGTCTAACCTCTCGGCTATATGCCCTATCCCAGCCCCAGGAAAACATACCCTAGTCCTACGTTTCCTATCTCTCGCACAAAAAGCCCTATCCATAAACCTCACCTGGCTGTCACCAACTACTACGACCTTACCTGTGGGCAGGGTTTGTACAACTGCCCTTTCCTCTCCTTGATCCATACCGTCCTGCCTCTTCTCTTCCTCTCCAGCTTCCTGCAGCACCTGGTAAGGGTTACTGCACTCCACACCCTGGTCAGCTTTCCTGAGCCTGACCCTAGTCCCCTTGGAGACAACCACTCTCCACGCCTGCTCCTCCTTCGCAGGTGTCCTGCTAGGCAGGACACCTACCTGAAGGAGTTCCGTCCTGAGGGCTTCATTTTCCCCCTTTAGAGTGTCAACCTCACTCCTCAACTGCCCCAGCTGCCTTAACAGCGTGGCAAGGAGGTCGTCCTTCCCCACACTCCCCTCCTCTTCCCTCATGGCACAACGATCCAAAGCGGCCATTTTCCTTGGTCTCTAGCGGGAGCACGATCAGCACGACCTTCTCCAAGCTGGACGTGGTGCTTGGGGCAGGAAGAGGAGCGGCTGTCTGCTTAGAGTAGCAGAGCTGCTCTAGGGTGTCTAACCTGCGGTGTAGAGACAGTAGCTGTAGAGCCGATGAGAGCTGCCTCTATGTGGATAAGCCAGTCCATGTTGCTTGAAGACTGGGAGAGTGATCGGTTTCTCCTCCATCCTGTGTGAGTGCGTCACTCCGGGGTCACCATTTGTAGGGTTATAAGATATTGGTGCACACTCAGGATGGGATGGAGAATGGAAACTCACAATGTGCTCACTGTATACATATTGTATTGGATGTACAATGTAGCTTGTTGCTGGGTAGGTAGCATGGTAATAATTATTGAGTAGAGAGAACTGGGTGGTGAGGGTGCCCAGAGTGAGGGCACGCGGCTTGAGGGACGTCAAGGTCGCTGGCGGGAGCGGCAGCCGCACGGCTGGCGCGGAGGAGGAGGTGTTGCTTGCTGGTGGCACTGGGGAGTAAAGAGACTGGTCACAGCGGCGTCAGGCCTTATAAGGCGGGGGTAGGCGTGGGTAGATAGTTGACCCCCGCTCCGTGGGCGGCGCTGGAGGCAAAGGCTGGGGAATTCGAGAAGGTTCGGTGCTTGTAGGGGAGGAATCCACTACAGGATCGATGCAGCAGTGCAGTCCAATCCTGTCTGTGCATAACTGGGCAGCCCTTTCCAGGAGTCACTCTACTCACCCCATTTTCAGTATCCTGTTACTCAAAGGAATACAGGCATTTCTTTTAAATCAAAACATAAAATTAAAGAGACACTGATCTTACCGTCCAACTTCTCCGCATCCTGTATTAACGTTAACCATATTTTTCTTTTTCAGCATGGATTACTCAAGATTTATATCAACGAAGTCATCAAACAGAATGCCATCAGGAATCAGTGAGATGAGTAAATACTTTTAGAAAACTTTCATGCTTATTATTATTTTTATTTATTTTATTGTTTTTTGTTTTTTGCGAGTACTAGCCCACCCGAGCACAGGTCATTGACCCACATCAGGGCCTGGGGGGAGGGGGGCAAAAATATAATAATAATAATTATTAAAAATAAATAAAAATTATAATAAAAACTAAAATAAATAATAAAATATTGATAATAATAATAATTAATACAAATAAAAATACAATAAAATTATATTATATTATAAAAATAATAATAATAATAATAACAACAACAACCATAAATAACCATAAATAAATACAAAAACGAAAAATAGATCAAGAATGAGAAACGATATACAGTATGTATGTTGTGTTGTCAAAGTAAGAGAAACAATTGAAACCCTGCAATTGTGTGTAAATGAGGCAGAAAGTCATATCAGCAGCCTGGGACTTGGTCACAATTTTCGTGATGCCATATGGCAGCAGGGTCTACTATTAGACAACACATTATGCTGCTAATATCTTCCCAGGCGGTAGTACCTCCCTGTTTGATGGTATAAGGATAACTGCCCCCTGGACAATTGCCCCCCACTGCCAGTGATTAATACTTTATTTTCATGTTTTATTTATTGGCTTATGTACACAGAGATTCTCTAAGTCTTGTACGATGGTTGCTATTCTGGCTGTTGAATCATGATAACGTTTCTTCTTAGGTGGTGCTGGATCTCCTGTAATAATCTGGTTAATGGTGATGCAGGTTAGGTGTACAAAAGATTCACTCGAGCAATGGGGAGCAATTGTCCTATGGGAGGCAATTGGCCAGAGGGCAGTTGTCCTAGAACCCTATTTGATAGCTGAAAATTAAACTGGAAGGGTACTGGATTCAGGGAAAAGGCCTAGCGTGGACCGGAGACTTTCTTCCTGACCGCAAACGGTGTGTGGTGATTAATGGCACGAAATCGTCATGTGTACCCATCACAAGCGGGGACCACAGGACAGTGTATTGGGCCCACTGTTGTTTGTTTGCTTCATAAATGACATGCCTGACGCTGTACATTCCTCCATACAAATTTTTGCTGATGACACCAAGTTATTTCGGGAAATTAAGAACCAAGCTGACTTTGAAGAGCTGCAGAAGGATCTTTGTGAGCTTCAAGAATGGTCAAAGAAATGACTCCTAAGAGTCAATGTCACGAAGTATAAGAGGCTGCTCCTGGGACGTACCAACGGTAAGGAGGCATATCATATGTACCTACGGGACGAAGAAACTGCATTAATTGAGACTGAATGTGAAAAGGACCTAGGTGTGTATGTTGGCAATTAGCTGAAGTTCTCGGGCCATTGCAAGTAGGTAAATCAGGAAACTAAAATATTAGGTCTTATAAGAAGGCCGTTCAGAGTGAAGTGCTTCCCCATCTGGAGTACTGTCACCCTGCCTTGTCCCTGAGATATGGTAGGTTAGGGACTACCTGTATCAGTTGATTGAAATGTCCAAAGGAGGGCCACCAGACTGGTGCCTGCACTACGGCACCTCAACTACCCTGAGAGATTAGAGCGCCTGAAATTGCGTAACTTATACTACAGACGGGCAAGGGGAGACCTAATTGAGGTGCATAAGCATCTCAGGAAACCTAATTGAGGTACATAAGCTCGCCAGGTTGAAGAAGCCGCAAGCCGAGAAAACTGTGAGGGATAAATTTAGGAGTGAGAATTGTGAACTCTTGGAAAAATCTGCCAGAAAGTGTTGTGACGGCACCGAATGTGAGCTCATTCAAGACCAGACTTGACAAGCACTGGAGCAGGTTCAGATACATTCAGGAGCCAGTGCATGCCCAATACTTGCCAACAGTGCGTAACAGAGACGTGACTGATTGCCCAAGCAGTTCACTAGCCGATCAGTGGTGAAGAGGATAAAAGTAAAGTAAAAGATACATACAAGATGTTACCACCTCCAAGAAGCCGAGCGTAGACACTGGGTGTCAGCGTCCTGGGTTCGAGCCATGCCTCCAGGAAACAACCGTAACCGTAGGCTCACGACTCATGTTGGCTCCATTAACTCAAAATTCTGATCCTGACGAAGTAAAGACCTCCTTCGTTGGACATCCTCTTGGCTACTGGCCACCGCCTCCCGGCACGGTCCTGCAACTCCAGCAGCCCACACAGTTGACGAGGAGAATGCGTTAGACTTAGAGTGAATTAATCAAAATATGACTGTCTCAAAATACGTCTTGTTAGGAAACTGATGGCACTCGAACAGAATTACGTTAACACACAAGACTTCAATTACGTTAACAGGAACACTGACATATTCGACACAATTCAACTAAGTCAAATTCACTTAATAGGACGATGAGACACGGAATAACATACAGTACCTGGCTGATGAGGAGAATGCTTTCAGAGTGAACGAGTCCAACTCCGCTTGCCCTTTTTTATGCCCCTGAGATATTTAGGTGGGAATTTTACAGACATTTATCGGTCTCATTTAAGATACATTTGGCTTATGAAAATCAGGCTATGAGCTTATATTAATTTTATAAGATTAAATTTTATAATCTAATCAGTATTCAAGCTTTGCAATGCAAGAATTAAATTGATGTCAAGTTCTCAGATTGATAATACATTGTGGGTGGAGCTTCTGGCCACTGCATCCTGTACTCCCAGGAGTATAACTTGCATTTCAAAGTTTTCCCTAATTGACAGCTTATGCTCTCAAGATTAATGGGAATCTAAAATACAAAACTGACAATAATTTCAATAAGCTCATCGGATTTTCTGAGGTCTGTAGATCAAGGAAATCCAACTTCAGTTGTGAACGGTCATCTCGTAGCTTCACACGAAATATATTGATTCCAGATGTCGGTGGAACACTCAAAACACATCGTCTTAACACATGCATTCTACACACATACTCTACACACACACACTCTACACATATACCCACTACCCAATACACCTTGAATGCTATTTCTCACTGTAGGTATATTGGACTTACAGCTACTCATACAGGTTATCTCTTAAATTTAACTTTCATTGTAAGAATGCACTTCATGTAGTATAAATGAAAACAGGTGAATAATTCATTAGTTTCATACGTATTTTGTGGACGGTGGAGCATAATATGAAGAATTAAGTGTGAATTACGAGCCGTACAATTGTGATCATGACATCAATAGCATCATTCAAGGTCACTGCTCCTCGCCAATTATCTCATTGCCCCCACAGCTCTCCTTGACGCTGAATAAGTTCTTATCAGGCGCGATGCCCACCGGACCCCACTGCAGTGCCCTAACGATGGCCCTTCCCCAGCTGTATCCTGTTCAGCAAGGTTACTGACGATCGACTTCTTCAGCAGATACGACATCTTCGGCATTGACTGCCTCAAGCCAGCCATTTTGCCCGATGAGTTCCCAAGTGGGCTCAGCATTACCCCTCCGTCCTCATACATCTCTCCCATTCCTAGCCTCTATCTCCACCAACGTCAGCTTCACTGCATCCACAAGACTTCTGGGTACCTCCTGAGACAGCAACTGCTCCTGTTTCTTCCACTTCCTCTCTTTCTCCTATTCCTACCACTTCCTCTCCTCCTCCTCCTGAGGACACGATATTTTCTCAGGATTTCGTCACTCACAGTAGCCGCAGAATCAAAACCACAGCCTGTTATACCCCGTGTGTCTTTGACAGCCACCAGGAAGCTTTACATCCCTTCGACCATCCTGAAGCCCAGGGTCACAGAAGGGGGGGGGGGGCATTGTAGGGGACACCTTACAATATTTTGTTTTACTTTTACTTTTATCCTCTTCACCATTGATCGGCTAGTTAGCCACTGGGGCGATCGGTCACGTCTCTGTTACGCACTGTTGGCAAATACTGGGCATGCACCGGCTCCTGAATGTACCTGAACCCGCTCCAGTGTTGGTCAAGTTTGGTCTTGAAAGAGCTCGCACTCGGTACCGTCACAACACTTTCTGGTAGATTGTTCCAAGAGTTCACAACTCACACTCCGAAGAAGTTTGCCCTCACAGTTTTATGGACCTGCGGCTTCTTCAATCTTGAGCTGTAACCCCTTGTGGGGCAAGCGTCCGCCAGCTCCAAGTAAAGACACTCAACTGAGTAGTGCCCCCTGAGATGCTTATACATCTCAACTAGGTCACCTCTTCTGTGAAACCAGTGTGGGTCAGTGCTGTGTCGAACCGTCTGTCCTCAAACGCAGGAAGTTTAATTGCATCCTCTCTTGTGAACACCGAGGTAAAGAAGCTGTTCAATGCCTCAGATTTATCCTGGTCAGAAGCTGCGTAACTACCATCTTCAAGCCTCAGGTCTGATACGCCTATTCGCGATTTTAATTTCGACTTTGCATAGCGGTAAAACTGGAACTCATTTTCAGCCCTTCTACACTCTACCTTTGCTTGGTTTCTGGCTCTTGCATACATCCCCCTGTCCTGCTCACCGTTTGACCCAACCCACGTCTTGAATTTCTGGGTTTTCTTCTTAATTTTGTCGACCGCCGCATGGTTTATGTGTAGGGATCCCCTCGTATTCCTAGAGGCACTGGGTTTGGTCTTGGGTATATATTTATCGATCAAATGGGTCACTTTACTAGTTATGATATTCAGTATAGTGTCTGTGTTCTTGTGCCTTGGTGAGTCAGGCCAATGAATACCCCCATCTCTTCCCTCATCCCATCATAATATTCCTTGTAATATTTGCACCTTGGCCTGGCTTTATCATGAACTAGGTAACAGTTAAATCTGAATGACAGCACTACATGGTGACTGGTGCCAACTGGGGCAAGGTGTTCCAGTTTGGCCACCATACCCTCCTTGTATGTTATGATGAGGTCTAGTGGCTTGGATGTTTGCTCCCTCTGTAATGTGTCGGCTCTTTAACATGTTGGAACAGAAAATTATCTCCGGGTTTCTCCAGTCGATGTCGCCATAGTTAAAGTCCCCTATGATATGGAGGTGGCTAGGGTTGAGCATTGCTGCATTGTCCATTAAGGCTCTT